GGATTGTTTAATAATTTAGCATTAAAAATGGATGAAAAATCTGTCCAGTTTATCATGAAATGCTTGTCAACCTTGACCTAAGAAATACAAATAAGGAAATTGTTTGCATAAAAAACTATGAACCTTTCTTATATATATGTATATTATTTATCTTTATTATCTTTAGTTTTACAAATATATTCGAATTTTTAATTGAATTTAATTGGATAGAATTAAGTGTGATTATTATTGGTATATATATTTAAAAAGGAAAAAATTAAATAGTCACCGCAGATCTATAGTAATAGTAGTAATAGTAGTAGTAGTGGATGATAGTAAAATTCGAATTTTACATAGTAAAAAAAAAAAAAATTTTATAATCGAATTTCTTACATCCTTGCTTGAGAGGAATTTCTCTACGAAAAAAAATGTGGGGACAGCCGTCCTATTTATATTTTTTTGAATTAATAAAATAGACTATTGTCTTGACCTTAGTGATGTCGTTGTGTGAGTAAAACACACGAAGCTCACTGTCACGTTTTCATTTTAAAATATCTGTATTCGTGTTACATTCCGTATATTTATTAAAATATTTCGTATTATTTATTTGGAAGGAATTAATGGCAATAATCCCAAATGGGACAATTCGCCTAGACTGGGACATTAATTAATTAAACATGTATATAAGGAACAAGAATTCGCTGTACTTTAAAAGTGACTTTGTAATAAATTAACTTAATAGTGTGTTTTTGTGTAATTGATACACTTGGGTTCTCTTAAACTTTGCTGTAGTGTACCATTTGATTTAATAAAATCTATTTGAATCTACTAAAATAAATAAACAAAGGATAAATTTATTATTTATCAAAAAAAGAAATAAAGAAACTTTAAAGTATATAAACATGATTGATTTTGAGATTGACATCAAAAAAATTTGCAACATTAAAAATCATTAAACTTTATACATTTAATAATATTTATTTTCTTTAAAAACAATGCTGTTTAAATTGACCACTGCTTGTGTGATTGATTCAATAAAGGAACAAAAATTAATTATTTCGCAATAAAAGCTATTTGTTTGTTTGTTTATTGTTGTTTTTTGATTTTGGTATTAATACATGGTTTGTTTCTATTCATGATACAGTCAGAACTTGTTAAACCAAAGTCAATATTTTCAAAAAAAAAAAAAAAAATTTTTCAATTTAAAAAACCTTAATAAAATCGGCTTATTGAGGTAAATTTGATAGGTAGATAATAAAACAACATCGGCTTATTTTGTATATTTGGTTTATCAAAGCATTGTTTTAACGAGTTCTGACTGTACGCTTATTCGTTTTATTCGTTTTATTTGTTTTATTTGTTTTATTTGTTTTATTATTATTAATTAATTATTCGTTTTATAAATTAATTATTTGTTTTATTGACTAATTATTTGTTTTATTTGTTTTATTTTTACTCAAATTATTTTTTTCTCGAATTATTTGTTTTATTCAGTAAACTTTATTTGAATAGAAACCTAACTGCAGCTCAAGATTATGATATTATTTTAGCACAAAAAGCTTTAGAAATAATTTAATTATAATATAAAAGAGTTATTGGTTTATTAAATTAACTAAAAAATAATATTAATTTTAAAAGAATATCTGATAAATATCAGCACTTTCAATATTTACTAGCAGGCTTTCAGACAATATGATAAAAATATTGTTAACTTATCGGTATGCCAATACATTGATTATTTTTTTAAAGAATAATCAGATTCTGATATTTGCTGATACCCCATTACCCAATTTGGCATCATTCAACCAGTAAAGAGAGAACCAACAGATTATATATAAGCAAAGAAAGATGGTAGCACAAAAGAATTTTAAATCATGCGCAAACATAACAGCTTGATAGTTTGATTGACATAGTGATGCAGCCTTGAAGTTTTTTTATTGTATATTTTAAATACAATTAATTATACATCTTTAACAAAACAAACATGACTTAGCTATTCAATCATTTCCTTGCATGTGAATGCCTCCATCCATCAAATGTTCATGATGGTCATGATTATTATTCAACACATTTGATGTCATCATTGACATAACAAACAATTGCATCACCCAGGTAGTAATGATACCAAGGCCATGGATAAATGAAACTTTTAATAATGCATGTCTACCCAGATCTCCGGGATTCACAAAATAAATCATTTTTCCTAATTATCAATTGTGGTTCCTTATGAATAATAAATCTGATGTTGATCACAGGTGTCAGATTTAATTAAATTTTCCCATCACAAACATGTGGTTATGTGCTTTTACACGCCTCATAACTATGGATTTTTTCCACAGGTGAGGTCCCCCACAAGTTGGAAGGCTTTGGACAAAACATTTCCCTATCTTCCCCTCAGACCAGGCTTGGATGTCACCATATGGGTATGAATATCAGCATTTGTGTGATGATTGCTGCATGTTATTGCCACACTAGCATAAAAGTTGGTGTTAAGACTGGCTTGAAAATTCTGCAACTCAGGAGGTTGCAACCTGGGTTGCTGTTTTGGATTTTCCCTGAATTCAGAGTTTTGAGTCCTGGGTTGCTGTAATTTTTATGAAAAGAAAAGTATTAATATTTAACAATTAATTATTTAAATGTTTATTTTGTTGAAAAAAATATATACATTGATAGTGTACATTTTCTGTGCTTAACATCCATGTGACCCTAAGCCTGGACAAAAGATCCCTTTCTATGAGTTTGGCTGGTACATCCCAAAGGTGTCCCCTGTCTTGTCAGTGGCACGCCTACTCACCAACAACCCTACCCCCATTTACAAAAATAACAAATTCAGTAGTGATGTTAGCCGACTAATAATCTGCATACACAATTTCTAAATTTGGTAATAGATTTCCGCGTTACCTTCTGGTTATAGAAATAAAATTACCAATTTAGGTAATAAATGGCTTAGCCGGCTAAGGATTTTTAAATGGCTAACATCATTAAAAATTCAGTTGTCAGATAAAAATTAAAGAGAAGCAGAAAATTTGGGAAAATGAGTAACTTATAACATACCAAAATCCGAACCATTTTTATGGCATTTTTCTTGTCGGCCATATTGCTGACAAGGATGTATATAATCATGCGATAATTTTAACCTACAGGACAGAGAACTTATTGGGCAAAAACCCAATCCAGTCTCTTACCCAAAATCATAAATTGGTTAGTTAGTATCAGAGAAACAGAGCATTTATGAAAATGATTATACAAAACAAACACTATTTTACAACTTCCCTCTTAACATCAGAGTCCAAATGCAATTTCAGGGCCACCAACCCTGCTCTGAATTGTGACCTCCTGAACTTGAAACAAGTTGCAGGTTCTTGTTGCTTTGATAGATCTGGATATTTACATGGCACTACAATTCATCAGCAGAGTTGCGACTTGATCACAGTGCCATCCTTCCCTAGCAGGATTGTTGCAGGCAACTTTTCAGCTAGCATGGCAGCGGCCATCTCTGGTCTGGGAAGATTAGTGGAAGTGTCATTGACGATTGGTGCAGTCTTGATGTATTCCAGGGCCATGCTCCCCCCCCCCCCTAGAATTCTGTAGCATCATTGTATCTTCGGGGGGTGCAAGTCAGATTAGCCTTATGTACACGAGGAAGATGAGAGAATGACTGTAAGTGTTCAAGGTAGCGTGCATGCTTCAACGCCTGTAAATTTCCGATAATCAAACGTTGCATACTCGAATTGTTTCTTTTTCAATTGTGCTGCTTTGATATCTTCTTGTGATTATAATAATATAATATTATTAATATTGATTACGAAAAGTAAAATATTATCAATGAAAATCTTGTAATTACTCAGCAAGATCTGCTCTGCATTTTGATTCCAATTAAAATATTTATATAAAATAAAAAATATCAATGCAAATAAAAAATAGTACCTCTGGTTAGTTATTAACACTTCTTCTTTAGGAGACCAAACCAAACCAAACAACAACGTTCACGTTTTGTCACCTTGGACTCTGTCAAAAAATAAATTGTTTTTCCAAGAAAAAAAAATCAATTCGCGTCTGTCCTACCAAAAAAAACCATAAATAATCAGCGTGTACGCGTCGATCAACAAATTTTTTTAAAAAAAATAAACAAAATGTCTTTCACCACTGGAAAAAGAAAAGCGAACGCTCTTGGAGAAGATCATGAGTAAGTGTTTTTAAGGATGGTGGTGGTCGCCACTCATTGTTACTCTAGTTCTTTTTTAAACTTTTTTTAAAAAAAAATGTATAGTCAAACCAATAAGAGAAGACATCGTGAAACAGAATCTGGTGCATTGGGGTAAGTGTTTTAAGAATGGTGGTGGTTATCGCCCGCCACTCGTCGTCACTCTAGTTTCATATTAAATTTTATACTATATATGTAGATCTTCTACCATTAATGAATGGATTGATACAGAGGATCTGTTTGAAAGTATCAAGAAGATTCTACCAGGACCACCACCAACACCATTGGACACTCAAGAACTTTTTGAATGTCTAAAAAATTTATTACCTAAGGATAATGTTGAGATTCCAGTAAGTTTAACAATTTTCTATCTATTAAGCTATTATTTAACATTTTGTAGATTTTCAAATATTTTACATCACACAAACATTACAGTGTTCAATTGAGTTGTCATCATCTTATGCATCAACAACTACCAGTGGCACTGCTCATTACATACAATCTTCACAATACCATCCTAACACACTGCCTTCTCCTTCTACCATGGTTTCTACCACAAACAATACCACATTACAACAACAAAAACAATTACTATCTTCTTCTCCAAACTCTGGATCTTGCTCTACATCAGCTATTATTACTTCGCAATCTGCTTTTACTCCTTATAATAATCATTCTTCTCATACAATAAATCCTACTCCAGTAACTACTTCTCCAAATAAAGTAAATTTCAATATTTTTGAATCAGAAAAAAAGAGAGGAAAAAAGAAATTAAACGTGTCATCAACAGAATTATCAACTTCAACAGCCACTGCCTCATCATCATCAACCACCACCGCTACATCCACCACTGCATCTGGAGAACAACCTCTTGACAATCAAGATGAATCAACAGCTACAACAACATCCACTATTGTCGAAACTGAATCAGTAATAATCAACAATGATGACGATGATAATGAT